TGTTGGTTTTCGTTTTTTTGAAAAGTACTCTAAACTGTATAAATAATGTAAAATTAAATTGAATTTATTAGCCAATCTGACAAACTTCTGCCTAAGAATAAAATAAACCCATTTTTGGTCAGATTTGATTATGCAGTTGCTAGTGCTATTTTTGCCGCTATTAAAATCTAGTGGACCTGAGAATTTTATACTAACTTACGTTATAATATGTTCTAAAACTTTAGGCTTGCGATTGATAGCAATAATATGTCTTTATGTAATCTGAATGACTAGAAAAATAGCCGTGTGTTACCATATTTTATAGAGTCCGATAAACCATTAATTTGGAAACCACCTCATATTGGTGTTGCACTATAACTGCGCAGCTTTTTAGTAACATTTATTGATCAGCACAAATTGAAGTTTCTAATTAGATGCGCTCGAAAGTTTTTTTTGAGACAGTTGCTTCAACAACTTAAAAATAAGAATATGTATATTTCCATAGATTAGTATTAAAATTAAATCCGAAAACACGATTGATTTAAAGTTAAACTATTTATCTTAGTAAGTTTTTAAGCTTAAAATTTTTTGTAAAGTGAAGACAACGGTATTATAGAATTTCCAGCATATAACACATGCAAAAATTATCTCATATAATAAATCATTAGAAATCAGGTGCAAAGGATTAGAAATTAAACATTATCTTGTTTACCTTAGTAATTAATTTCCGAAAATGGAAAATTGAATGCTTATTTATTATAAAAAATTTACTTATAATCATATATTATGAAATACATAAATATAAACGAAGAAATATTATACGAATGAATAAAATATAATACAAAATACGAAAATTTCAGATTTTCTTTTGCCAAATTAAACTTTATATAGAGATTTGCCATCTTGATACGAATTATATTATTATATAAACCATTATCAAATTATAAAGATTTCATTAATCATAAAGGGAATATACCCCGACATTAATTGTTAGTCATCCCGTCTAAATACATAATTTTGCTTAATTTTTGTTACTGATGTATTTTCTTCTGGTCCTGATGCCTGCATCACTGGAGGTGTGTTGTTCAAAATATATTGAATTGGTGGCAGTTGAAGATTGTGAAGATTTTCAAGATATTGTAGTCGAGCACGAGTTTCATTGCGAGAGGCTCGACGGAGCTGGAGAATACGCTCTCGATTTCTTTCATAATATCTTCGATTAGCGGCGTGACGGGATGACTTATGCTGAGGCATATTGGATGAAAATAAACTTGATGGTTGAGTCGAATTTAACCAGAAATTATAGAAAAGAAGTATTTAGGGCAAAAAAGGGCAAATTTAAATCTTATTTAATCTATCTGATCATTGACAAATAAGAGTAAATATTTTCACTCAAAATGACAGTGTTGTACTGCTCTACATTCCGCATTTCGCTCCATTACATTATTAGGATGATTTCAATTTCTTGAAAGTAATTTCTCTACCTGATGCATAGGATTAGGATTAGCTTCCGATTCGTTGCAGGCAGTATTTAAAAGCTAATTGTTTCCAAGTCAATTGGACATATATCCAAAACTGTCCAAAACCAATTGGACATCAAATTGACCGACTAAGATTGAGGCATATATTTTTAGCAGATAGTCCTCCTGTCTCCATAGTTTTTACAATGTCTAATTGGCTGTTAAATAATTAGCTAAGCATTGTAATCAATCACTTTAATTACGTTAAATAATCAAATTATTGAACCATAGACACTAGTGGTGTTATTGTACAGTAAGCAAAAAATTATTTAGAATGTTCTAGAACAAATCATTAAAGTATCCCTATCTCAAAATTTTATTATGAAACTGTCTTTCGTTTTCTAACAAAAATTATTCCTTGCATAATCTTGCATATATCTGATTTATAAATGCTACATCTATTATATGTAGTACGTATACGAATCAAGTAACGATTAAACAAAACTAAAGAAACCAAAAACAGAAAGAATCCGAGTATATCGGAAAAGCATCACCTGTAAAAAGACTAGGACATAATACTGTACTACCATAAATAAAACAACATTATAAAGAAACCAATATACGTCCATGAAAATTATTAGAATATGGATTAATTAAAATCCGACCATTTACCGTTACCAATTACGGCTACACCAATGACACAATAATACACCGATTATTTAATGAAGTAACATGATCAGAAGATCACCGACAAGTTAACCGACCCTCGGAAGCATGACCGAGCCAGAATGTGATCAGCAGTATCTAATTTTGGAATTTTGTATAGGGATGTATGCAACTCATCCCAAAATTCCGGGTCGGAATACTTCGGAATTATGATCAGCAGGGCCGGAATTAACTAATTTTGCTCAAGATCACTAAATTTTTACTTATGAAACCATAGCTCACTCATTAAGTAAAGCTGCCCAGCTGATAATTTTGGCCCAGAAATGGTTAACTTATATTATTAAATGCTAACTAAATGTCGAGCTAAATTCGATGGTTTCGACCCGCAATTTGGGGATTCTTCTGTATAAGTTGATGAATGCATCACATAATTTCTTCCCTGAAATATAATTTTTTTTCGCACACAGATGATAGAAATTTTAAGTTTTCATTTAATATGATCATTTCGTCAGTATAGAATTTTTCTAGTTGGTATATTTCTTTTGAGTCTAGGAGTTCTAAGTTGTTTAATAAAAGTGTGTCTATTATAATAGTTCTTTCATATATAATTTGTTCTATATTTTTGTATTCTTCTTCTGAATTGTATTCTTGTGTCATTGTTAATAAAGTGGTCATTAATTTTTCATATGTTGAAATTTGTTTGAATATTAGTATTAGATTCTTTTCCAATTCTGGTACTAATAAAAGATCTTTTGCTTATTGATATACATAAAATGCAAAGTGCACATGCTTTCTGATTCTTTATTTTTGAATTGGTGTTCTTTTAGATATAGGTATATATAAGTAATTATTTCTGATAGATACCTATGTAAATATTCTATTGGTTTGTATTCTGATTTACTATTTGTATAGCATATTTTTCTTGTATTTCAAGATCTACTTCTTTATATACTTTTTGGGTTCATCTATAGAATAAGGTTTACTAATGCACTTGATAGTTACATTAATTATCACATTATACAAAATGTAACTATTAATTATCAATGTATTTTATTTATATTAATATTATACAATGGATTCATGTATCAAATTTAAAAATATAATTACAAAGCAAAAATAAAATATTTGTTAGTTCTTTGTAATTATAAAAATTACTAATAATAAAGGTTTAATAAAGATTATATGATAAGACAGTTTTTATTATCTATTCAATATTATTAATTTAGTAATATTTAGAAAATCATAAAACTAACTATTATGTTCAATTCAGAAAATAGATATTCAAAATTTGTTTTTATAACAAACAAGTTGACTAGAAAAAATTATTAAAATAAGAATAAAATTTCTGAATGAGTTCAATAACTTTTATTTTAAAAAAACAAAGAAAATATATATTTTAAACCTATTAAAGATGAAATTAATTATTTATTTGAAAAATTTAATATTTTGCAACCTATAACTAGTTATAATAATACTAATATTATAGATAGTAATTTTGACTATTTTTTTTATCTTATTATGCCAAATAATATTTATTCATTAAGATTAATAAACTCTTAGAATTTAATAATAAATACTTTTTTATTCTAAGAGAGATTTCTAAAAATGTTTCTGTTAATAAAATGAATTATACTAAAAAAGAATTAATAGAAAGCAATAAAACTAAAGTTATAAAAAAAAAGATAAATATTATAATAATAGTAATGATTCATTTATAGAAAATAAAAAGTTAAAAAATAAATATACTAAAATTAAAAATAAAATTAAAACTCCAAACAAAAACTTAAAAATTATTGCACTCTTATTGATAAAAAAAATGATTATATTAAAAAATTAAAAAAATAAAAATATTTTAAAGAATAATAAAATTAAAAATTATAAAAAAGATATTTTCTATTTAAATATTAAATTGTTTTCAAAAAAAAGAAAAATCATCAAAATATAACAAATAATTAATAATAGAAATAATAAAATTAGAAAAATGAATGACTAATAAAAAAAAGCATATAATTAAAAAAAAATAGTATTCTAAGAATGAAATAATATTTAATAAAAATATAAAATTAAAAAATAAAATATTTTTCTTAAAAGAAAAAATAGCTGTTTTTGAACAAAAAATAAAAAAATGAAGTTAGATTCTGAATTCAAAATTTCAGATTATGAATATAATTATAGAAAACATAATTAGAAAAGAATTAAATATAATAGTTAATAATATATTTTATTAAATTAATTATATGATATATTATAAACTGATATTATAAATAAATTAATTTTTTATTTTTTTTTATTATCAAATTGATTATAAAATTTTTAACTAAAGTTAAACATAAAAATTTATTTTATTAAATGATCCTTTCTCTTTAACAGAGTTATCAAAAAATAAAATAAAATAAGTTTTAATATGACTTTACATGCATAATTGCTAGTTTATTATTAAAACAAATGTCATGTATTGTTTTATATTTTCAAGAAAAACTCAAAATTTAAGATAAACTATTGATTTTTAAATATCCAATTTATTAAAGCTTTATTTAAAATAAATATTTTTCTTTATAATATTTTGTTCAATAAATAATATTATATTTTAGTAATATTAATTCTAATTTGTTTTTATTTAAAGCACATCATTTAGTAATAAATACTGAAACTGTAATTCCAAATAATATCTTATTTGAAAACAAATTTAAATAAGTTTCTTTTGTTAATTATAAAAAAGGTTTTTAAATTATTATAAAAGCTATAGAAATTTATGAAATCAATAATGGTTGTTCTAAAGATAATGATATAAAGTTTTTTAATTTTTTTTGATGATTTAAAATTTTTTTTTATTTTTTTTTTTAGATAAGGTCTTGCTTGTATCTTTATTGGTAATTTAAAGATTAGTAGCTATATAAAGCTGTTATATACAAAAAATAATTTTTTATATAAATTCTATAGCTAAAACTAACACTTGCAGTCAAAACTAAACCATTAAACTGCTAGAAATATAGCTACTCTAAGTAAAAATAAAAGAAAAACCACATTCAAAAATAAAAGCTCAGATATATTTATTTGTAACCTAAACCTACTAAAGTGATTAAGACTTATCTAGATTTGTAAGTTTAGAATATGGTTATAAGAAATATATATATATTTTTTTTAAATATTAACGATGAGGTCATGCCTTTAACTTTATTGAAATTCAATTGAAGTTTTTATAAAGAAAAG